CCGGCCGTCTGACCAGCTTATTTTTTACTTTTTCTCATAATGCCGTAATACCAGGGGGGTACTGGTCGGTCCTATCTCTAGTCCTTTTATCAACAACTGTCATGCTCTGGCATCATGAATTGAGGATATCATCAGGATATCAAAACTTCCTTTTTACCTTTCCATATTTCTAACACAATTTAATAAAAGGTGACCCGTCTTTGGAAGTCACAGTGGAAAAACGTAAATTTACATGGTCCGTCCGTTAAGTGTTAACAAACAAATTAATAATTTGCGATTTTTTCTATACTCTTTATTTTCTGTCAAGGAAACATACCCAAGTGTTAATCGCCGATTTTGATGAAATTTTCCACATTTGCAGAGTAATAAGGAATCGATTTATTGCAAGATAATTACTTTCACATATCATAAAAAAACATCATACATTTGGTTTAACCATTTCAGTAATTTGCATTTGCCTATATACATATATATACATATATATATGTAGGATCAGGTTTTGGGTAGATTGACTAAGATGGTATTGTTGGCTTCTTTAATAGAATAAAATAAGCTTATAAATAGACTGACGGCTATGAAACAAGAGAGATTCGCTATGAGCACGCTCTTTTGATCTTTCTTAGACTGACTTGGACTTCTTACTGACACATTGGGGCACACTTTTAAAGACTGCAAAAAGACTGGCTTAACAAACTCTTAAAGATTCTTAAAGTCTGACTCGCCCGCGTCCTTGCACCCTTATTTAAACCATTCATTCTGTCCTTTTTCATATCCAGGCTTCCCTTTCCAATCATGCCCTTTACCCACGCAACCTCGGTGGGCCAGGTACTTCAACCACTCTGGATGCATCCCTAAACTTTCACTCGACTCTACCATAAATATTCTTTGCAGTCAATCCTCTTGCACACGGTCACTTTCGTTCAAAGACCAGACACTCTTCACATTCTTTCAGGGCCGTACTCATTCCAATCCCACATATAAATATAGACGAAAATGCATAAACATTTAATCACAGAAATGAACTAAAAAAGTTAATTGTATAATTTATTGTTTAAATAACTTATATCTTTTGCATAGCATCCGTTTACGCGAATTATCCTATCTCCGATAAAAATCTTTTACTATTCTTACTTTGGATCTAAAATGAAAAACCCTTACTTACCACCCCTTTAACATGGGCAGTGGCAAATAAAAGAAATATGTGTTAAATATTTTCTACTACTCTACGATTCTACAGAGTTTCATCAAAATCGGCGTTCAACGCTTCGACATGTTTTCTTGCGAGATACACGTGTATATAAACTAAAAAATTAAAAGTAGATTTTGCATAAGATATTTGAGAAACTTGTTAAAGATATACAAAAATATAAATTGTGCCTTAATTCTTCTCAGCAAATGTAAAGGACGTATAAGAATGAATTATCGTAGCTATCACACAGCGTGATTCGACACCTTTGGAATTACCAAGATCTGTTAAGAAATGTTGCTATAAAATTGTCCTCGAATATAATTTCCAATGTCAACTTTTCTTCCTTATTGCATCGTAGTTTATTCACCACGAGGAGAAAATATTTCAATGCAACTATAGGGCGCAAATGAACCGTTCTCTCAAAAAAATTAACCGCAAATATTTTCACTTACTGTACAGAGACGCATTGCATGGGCGACAGTTTCATCAATATTTTTCCAATGTCAAAAGGTTTACTCGACTTTCATTTCCGCCCAACTACCTTTCGCTGGACAATTTTAACACTCGCATCGTTGCGTATAAATTGTCTCGAAGTGGTTCGTTAAAGCCCACGAGTAAGAGAGCTTTTCACAGGATTTCTCCAACAGATGGCAGAGAAGAACCGTCCATGACAATTGTTTATCTCGAATGTTAAAAAAAATAACAATCGGATGGAGGATGTCGAAGATTATGGTTACTGACAACCGACAACGAGAGACTGTGTGCTGTTATTCTATAGTCCAAAGAAACTTAACTCCTCCTCGATTTTCTGCACAGTGGTTTTAAAAGAAATCAGGAGTTTGCCAAGGGGCAGAACGTTTCCCTCGTTAGTATATAATTCATTTTAAATAACAGTGTTTCCATAATTCGTTAAAGGGGCTATTCTGGTTTAGAGTCTTTTCTTTTGGCCAATTTCTTTTTATTTCTGCAATTTGACAAAAAACAGTTATTAAAGTCATTCTTTCGACTAGTGATAACTTCAAATCACCTCTAGAAAGAATAATGATTTACAAACGTAAGTTATTCGTTATAGATTTTTAAGTAAACAAAATTACTAACAGACTATAACAACTAATGACATCTTTTACTTCCTTAGTATCCAAAAAGTAAGGAGTAAAACGAATTATAAACAATGATAAATTTTAACTTGCTATTAATAGCGATGAATACAATTTATTGCAAATTATTGTAATTCGTGTCGTCTGCCGTATGATAGAGATTTTGCATTTTTTGCAATATATCATCGTATAAAGATCGTGACAAACTACTTTTTATAACCAAGATTGTACAGAATAATTCCAGAGTAACCTTAGTCCACATCATTTTTTGTGTAATTTAAAAGTAAGACAAGATAGAATTTTAATTAACTGATAGCTTAATAACTAAGTTTTAAGTAGGTTTAAACAATAGCGTGCAGAAAGATCAATGTCTATACAAATAAATAATCATGCTATTTTATATCACTCAGCTGTGATGATATTTCATAAACAAACATAGATATATCGAATCAAAATAGATTTTCAATATGATAAAGTTAATGTCAAGTTAATAATGTTAAAATCTTGAAAAATAATTTCTTATTTTTAAATAATAATCGCTATGAAAATTTGAATTTTGACCTTGTTGGATTTTCATTGAAATTTCTTACAAGTCTATTGATTCCTTATTATTCCTTTTTAATATAAACTTTTAATACAAATATTTGAATCTAACTTGTTATATACTCCAAAGGAGAATTATCCAATTTGTTCATTTGTCATCCCTAGTCAATAGATTACTAGTTTCGATATATCTGAAAGTAATTGCATAGTGATCCACGTGTGTAAATTTTCAGTAATACATAGCACGTAATTACTATGTATATGTAGATTAATCTGTAACTTTATCAAAGTCAAAAATACCTCATGTTACACACAGAACCATTTTAAATGGTCTGAAATGAAGAAAAAATTGCACAATTTATTTGACTGTGTTCAATTTGGTACAGAAACTAAACAAAACATACACTGCAGATTTTATAAATATAACATTCAAATAAGCTATTTACTAAAATTATCATCATATAAGCTGTTCTAGTAAGCAATTTAGTCAAAGTTAAGTAACAACTTAAAATATACTCTGATAATCCTCTTAATTTTGAGGTAAATGACAATGTACATTTATTTAAACAATCAAATACGTTATATCGTTAATAATTAAATCATTGTAGGATTAATAAAATGGGCAACGATTTGATTGTACGTTTAGAATTAGAAACTAACATGATAAGCATCTTCCTTGCAGAAAATTAATGGTAATTTTACACTCAGCTGTTCTGAACTTTGTATATTCCTTTTTCTTTTGTCTAATTAATTTTGTGTGTACGTAAAGTAAATATTCTTCTCCCATAAGTATTAAGTTTCATTTTCTTTATGCTATTATTATATTCTGTATACATACTCACTGTGAATTCTTATATAAAACTATTGAATGAAATTATATTGATGAGTTATGTTTACATTAAATAGTTTACATGATTTGTATATTGCTTTGTAATCGGAGTTACCTTGGATAATAAACACGAAATTATGTAAATATAAAATATATGTTTTATTACAATTTTCTTATGCATAACAGGGAAGAAGTTATGCTATCATGTAAATTCATGTTTATTATATGTCCGTAAATTAGAAATAGAATTTGAAATCATTTATACATACATAATATACGATACACATCTGTATGGTGTCCAGTATGTAAATGACATAGTAAGGTTAGAGTTTCAGAGACAGAAAATAACCTATGTAAAAACATTGTTGTCAAATGTCTTCTTTCTTTGTTAATTTGGATACTACACAATTTCATTTCAATTGTTCCATGTACACCACATTATTAGCTACAATATAGCTCTATCGTCTACGATTTATTGGCGAAGACTTCAGAGACAAACCACAGAGAAAGTCATTGAACAATAGAATAAATTTTGACTTACTATTGAATTATAATAACCTAGAAAGTGGAATCTATATTGAAAAAGAATGACTGGAGTAAAAGTTTAAAAAAAAAAATGGAAAACATTCATGAAAACATTCAAAAGTTCCGACTTAAACCGACTAAGTTTCTAAATAAACATTGAGACACTTTCCTGATTTTCGCGTACTTTAATATAAATAACCGCTGGATGTATAAAAAGTACACGTTCTGTAACACTCCGAGTCCGCAGGACTGGTGACAGCAAACAACAAAAAATGTTCAAAAATTTGATATATAAAGAATCTACTTAGTCATAAATTTACATTTACTGAATTATAATTTGAATTAATAGTATCGAGATTAAAAGCTTCAGTAGTAGCATTCGAATTCAAGTCGAAATACAGTATTATGTGTTTTATTAATACTTATTAATGGTTTAAGTATTATATTAGTATATCTTTGAAACACAGCACAATTTCGTGCTCACTAAATTAAAATGCAGTTTTCAAATTTTATATAATCCATTTTATTTTGATATCGATGTAAATTTAACCTTTCAAACTGAAATTTGACATCTAAACTTTAAATCTAAACGTCTAAAATAATTGATTACATCAGTTATTGGTGATTGTAAGGTAATAAATAATCATGTATTAATAATAATGAGTATTATTATTCTTTTATTATACTATATTTGCATGGCAATTTCAATGTCTAAAATATTTAATAAAAAGAAGATACTAAATTAAATATTAAATTAAGCAATATTAGCTTAACAGTGATGGTAGTTGTAATAATAATTAAAATCATAATTAAATTTGAAGCAATTAAAATTAAATACTTGAACTCCAAAATCTAGAGATGAATTAAAAGATGCATCCTTCTTTAATAAGGTAATACAAAAGTATTTTGTTTGAGATTTTATATGTAACAAATGTTATAGTAGCCAGAAACGTGAGGCTATCCTATTCTATCAGCTTCTTTTATTTACTAATTTTATTCATGATTTAACAGTTTATTATATTGTAATATCAATATTATCAATTAAAAAGAGAAGAAGAAGCATATAAAATATTTAAAAGTATTCCTTTAACGTTCTAACATTATCTCTTATTAAACATTTTACCATTAATTCTTTAATATCATTAAACCACAGTATATTTTATTATTGAATGTTATTTTTGTTAAACTATAAAATACTTCAACTAATTTATAAGTGATTATATAGAAATTTATATAGCAATTTGTAGATGTTCTGCTGTCAAATCTTTTTAGAATTATAAGTTTCAAATATTTTCAGATAAATAAGCGATAATTAATTAAAAAACATAGTGTTATAGATTGTATAATTTTGAACAAAAATATAAAAAGATGCAGCACTAGCATTATTGTTCTTTTTCTATGTTAAAGATTGATAAATAGATGTTGCGAACATTAATAAAAATAAGTATCTAGAAAGTGACTACTGGCATATTGAAAATTCACCACTAATGTTTGAACGTATATATGTAACAGATACTTGAACACAAGGATAAAAGCTATAAAGAATATCTTAATTTAAAGTTTTAAGTACGAGCAAAATAATGTTAATAACTAATAATTTGACAATAAGCATCATAGTATTGACAATGAAATATATGCTATGAAAAATATTTTTCAAGTTTTCTTATGCCAAATATATTTTTAACTGTGTTTAAACAAAACAATTTGGTTTCATTACTTTGTTTCTTAAATATATTAAAGTATCACCTTTTCAAACCAATAATATTACGATAATAGAATTATTATCAATGCCATTCGTTTTAAATGAATGTTACATTGCACATTTAAAAGCTGTCATCAATTTTGTTATCACTTTTATATAATAAAATTGATAAAATTTAACTTAAAAATTTGACTAACATATTTCTATGTATTTTTTTCTTCTTCATGTACTTTAAATAGATGAAATAAACAAAACTCATTCATAATTTTTATTTTATGTGCTTAATAACTTTTTATATTTTTATATGCTTAATAATATTTTATATTAATAATTGTAAATTAATTTATATAATTAACTTTTTATTTTTTATATAAAAATGTTTTTAATATAATTATATTCATATCTAAAATGTAAGATTACAAAAATAAGAATTTTATTATTTAATATCATGAATAAACTCATGAAAAATAAACAAAGATATCCAATATCTATTGATTGTTTTTGTATTATAAATAGAATATATTCATATACTATTTACGTTTGACGGTTTTTCTTTTCTGTTTATTAATTATTTTTGTGTCAAATGATTTTCCCAGTTTTAAAATGTTAAAAACGATCAATCTAAAACATAGATGGCATTTACATCGATATTTGTCAACTGAGGCGACGCAAGATTTATTTTGATTTAGAAATTAGTCAACGATTGTAAGGGGGTTAAGGTGTGCGGACGTGGTTTTTTGTGTTACTTAATCGGGGCCAAACTTTTAAGTACTTGCTTATCGGAGGTCAAGAACTGAAAGAATGACCCGTAAGTAATTTGTCATATTATTTTTAAAAAAGTGCACGAGACACGCATAAAACAAAAGAGAAAATTTGGAATAATATAATTTTGCATTTTCTATTGGTAAATAATTCGAAGATTGAAAATACAATATTTAACTGTAAGTTATTGTTGATTATTTATTATTGTATTGTTTATTTATTTAAGAAAAGTCATTTTTATGAAATATAATTTTACTTTTATATGGTTATTTATATCTAAAGAATTTGTCTCATATTTCTCTATCATATTTATTTTCTTTTCGTTCCTTGCACGATTTCATATTTTGGATTTCTTTGTTTTAATATTTTTTTTCATACAATAGGTGTTATATTTAATATACATTGCAATTTTATTTTGGTAGTTAGGTTTTTGAAATTTAAACTGCTACATCTAAAAAATCTTTGATGTGATGTTTTGATATTTTTATTATATAAAACTACATTAGTATTAAGTTCTTAAATATAACTTTTATTACTTAAAGTTTTTACTTTTACAACTAAATTTTTTTGGTTAGTATAAATGTATTATTCATAATACTCTAGTTCCATTTTAATATTTAGTTAGATCAATATTTATGATTCCTTAGATCAAAAAAAATATATGTACATATGAATTTCTTTCATGCAGGAGGAAATCAGCGAGAGTTAGCACGAGCCAAAAATATGAAAAAAACTGTTAAAAAGTCAGCAGCCGAACAAGAAAGCAATAAGGGTCTCTCACTAGAACAGCGGAAAGCACGGTATTATTTAATGTACTTAATATTTAATAATAAATTTTGAAATACTCCAGTATATACATTGTATAATATTTTTAATGAATCATTAGAATTATCTGCAAATGATATTATATTATGATTATTTAGGATCGTAATATCTATTTTAAATTTTAACTGTATAAAAAGGGAATCGAAATTATGTTTATAGATATTCAAAGTTGACATTTTTTTGCAAATGGAAATGCATATACTTTATCAGTAATATAAAATAAAACTACAATGAGACATAAACTATAAAAATATGATAATCTGAAATATATAAAATATTATATACAAACATAAAAAATATTATATGCATAATATAGTTATTAAACATAGCATTCTAAATTAGTTTGATTATAATATTAAATTGTGAATAATTATAAAATCATATAAACATTTGATGAATACTATATATGTATGTACTTTTTTGCATTTATTTTAATTACCTCTTGAAATTATATATAAAAATTTCAAAAATATTAAATTGTTCTCAATGGGATGTTAAAATAGTTAAAATGGCAATGATGTTTAGGTTTTAAAAGAATTATTTTCAAATTTTCAATATATAATATATATTATATTACGTAAAGTCATTTTTGTTGTTTCAGAGATGCAGAACGAATGAGAGAAAAACAACAGAAGAAACAAGAGCAGCATGAAAATACTAAGCAAGGTGCAAGATAACTCCTACTATTATAAGAGATGTAAATTGTTTGACTGAATTTAAGAATAAACTTTTAAGTATGTTTTTAAAATTCTTGATTATAAAGCACCAAAGCTATGCTTAATGCGAGTGCATAAAGAATTCATAGTGTTTTTAATTATAGAGAATATCTTCAGACTGTATAATGCAGTGTATGTTATAAAACTAGGTTCAAGCAATCATGTTACTTACATGTTTGCAAAACACTAATAGTCAATGTGTATGAAAATATTGTTATTTACACTGTAATGGTTAAAGAAAATGCGCATTTGATTGGTTCATATAGATATAAGGATATTAATTAATTAAATATAAGGATATTTATAGTACTAATTTTTAATTTATAAATTTAACTTTTTAGTTATTTAATATGACATATAAGTAACTTTCACAAATTGTACTATGTAAAGAAAATAGGTACGTTTGTCATTGTGTTTGGCTCGTAATAAATTATTCAATTTTGAAATGTTTTCGATTTTCTATTTCTTTTTATTTGCTTTTTATCCTAACGCTACATTGTCAATCTTATTTGCTTTCAGTAGGTAAAATTATATGCTAAATTATTTAAATAATTAGTGCAAATATTGGTAAGTTTACATTTTTTTTATTCTGTTGCTTTTTTTACATTTATTGTAGTTTTATAATAAAGAGACATTACAATTTTTTATTAAGAGAGTGAGCTACTAACATGTATAAACAATTTTGACACGTTTAAAACAAAATATATGCGGTATTTACTAAAAATGGGTATTAATTGACCATTACCTATACTTTATTGCACTTTCCCAGAGACAGTACATGTTTAACATATTTATTTATTACTTGAAAAACTTGATATAAATTACAAACATTTGGAATATCCAGTCCAAACAGTGATAAAAATTATGAGATTTCGTAATTCACGTATAACGCTTATTGGAAGGTAAAATCTTAATAATAAGATACGAATAAAAAGTTGTACATTATGATGTACAATAAGCACATTATATAGCCTCTAAAGATTAAAATTCTTATAAAGTAGACTATTTATGATTAAAAACAATTTGACTTATTTCTAGGTAGACAAAAAATCCTTTATTTATATTTTATTTATCACTAGAGTGTGTTAGTTTTCTAATACATTTACAAATAGAGGATGTCCTCTTATTAATTGCTTATAGATTATCAAAGTTTTCATACATAAGGAACCGTGTTATATATTGAGCATTTATTTAATTATACTATATGCTTCAAACTGTAATTATAAAATTTCATGTGATGCTATTACGGCAAATGAAATGAAGTTGTATTAAAAATTAGTTAATATAAAACATTTGCACATAAAATAAAAGCAATAATGTATTTTGCAAGGAGTAAAAATTAAAAATATATTGCATATTATAATCGACCTATGAAGGCAAACATAGGAATATGTTTCTTTTTACATAAATGCTATCTTTGTTTTATTAGGAAAAAGTTACTTTATCAATTAATTTAGTTTTTCTGTACAAAATAAAGTTTTTATGAATTACGAGTTACAAATACTGCAGTCTTTTTAAAAAGTAGGTAAGATGTGTTTCATAGAAACGCGTTTAAACGAAAATATAGCGTAATAAAAAATGTATTGTATTATTACTGGTAAATCAAATTCTGTAATGTACATATTATTAATGTTATAATATGCAGTATTGAATTTATTTTTATTGTAAGTAGGAAATTAATCGCAATACAAATTCTTTTCATTTAAATATTTAAATTCTCTAGATCCAATATAAAAATACATAATGATTGAGTATTAAATGATACTAACTTAAATATTTTGTGACAAATAAATATAAATTTGTATAAAGTTGTTGACAGCCAATTAAACGAATACAGGATTATTTGATATAAAACATTTAACAAATAAAATATCATTATACAGCTTGCAAAGAATGTTTATAGCTATTAAAAAGAATTAGAAAACTGCATACTGCCTACATTTGATTCTTTTTTAAATTTGTAGGTATTAAGCTTAAATTTTAACTACTTTTCAAATCATATTTATAACTAAATACCAATGAAATGATTTGTTTATTTATATGTGTTTATAGTAGGATAAAAGTTATAACTAATCAAATCAGTGGTTATATGTCTTAATGAACTATACAGAAAGATACATCCATAACTGGTTGTCATTTAAGGCTGTATTAATGCAAATAATGTTTAGTAGTATATTAAATATTAGATTTTACACTTAAAAATCTTGAATAGAAATTTTAGTATATCGATTGTATCTATGTAAGAATATCTTAATAATATAATGCAAAACATTAATATAAAAATTGATATATATATAATTGAATTTTTTACATGTAACATTAATTTCTAGTGGATATAAAAAATTGTTTAATGTAATCTTAATCTCTGAAGTATAGTTTAGTAGTAAGCATATTGCTTTTACACTTTACTCAATTAATGATGGCAAAGGAAAATTTAGTATTCATTCATAAGGAAATATATAAAATAGTTAAGATAATAAGATACTTAGTGCCTGAAAATTTTCAGATACAGCTGTTATTTATGAGTAAAATGCATAAGAAAGATTTATGTTTTGCATTAAGTTATTGAGATATTCTATTTATATTATAAACCTTAATAACAATTTAAATATCCAGAACTTAATCGTAAACCGTAGATACAATTGTGTAGATATATTTCTGTAGATACATTCCAAAATCGTTTTCGCTTCTAAAGAGTTAATTAGTGGATATAACATAGAGACTGTAATATCTTTACAAATATTTAATACATACATGAAATTGGTTTTTATATTAAGAATACTTAATAGTATATGGTATAAATATTTTGTTTACATCTATTTCGATGACATATTATTACTGTATGTTTTTCTTGGTTTGCATAATGCAAGATGAAATACTTAATGTACTTGAAAACTTGATAAAAGTTTGTCCCTCTATTGAAATTACAACAATAATAAATGCTAATTGAGCATGGCTATTGGAATAATGTATCGTTAAAATATTATATTTGTAATATTAGCACCATAACTATATATGTTTTGGAGATGAGTTGTACAGTGTGAGTTAACGCAATTAAATCGAATTTACAGTTTATGCTAATGAAATATGTTAGTCGAAAACACAACTATAGTTTAAAAGTGTTTCCAAAATTGCACGTTACACAAACTTTTTTTATGGATATATAATAAAATTTGAAAGTATTGAAAATAAAATTTTGCATACAAGATTATCAGAAGTATTCTATTATATAATGATAATGAAATAAAACCATGTTTCATTTTAGAGAAATGGTAAATACTACAATCAGAGTAACTTATGGAATGTTCAAAACACCAGCACAATTTCGTTATTAAAATGTGAAATGTTTAAAAAATACATGTAATGTTGAAATAGAAGTGGTTTAATATAACATTGGTGTGGAATTAAAAAAATTTTGTTTATAAATAGAGTATTGGAGTTATTAGAGTTAAAATGTTATTTTCTAAGTATCAATAACTATAATATTATAATTTTATTGCATTAGTATGTAAAAGAAATACGACATGGTTTACTCCTTTTACAAGCAAAAGTGTTTTTATTATCGCAAATAAGATTATGAAAAAATGTTAAAAATTTATATATGCATGTATGTATGTATGTATGTATGTATGTATGTATGTATGTATCGTATCGTATAAATAATATAATTTCAAAACTGACATACACATAAACACAAGATATGCTTTTTTAAAATCACAGCTAATAAAGTTATTAGTTATATAATATATTTTCGTTCATTTGAGCATTGAGCCTTTTTCCTCGAATAAATCTAATAAGTTTAAAAGAATGATTGCTGTTTTTCTGTTTGATTTGCAAAAGTACAATATACAATGTATAGCAATGTAGGAACATTTGTCCACTATATCATTATTAAAAACTGGTATACATATTTTAAACACGATGTTTCTCTTAAATATAACAACGATGTAGAAAGTAACCTTTCATTCCTCCCAAAAGCAAATGATATAGAGAAGTACGAACAATTTGTAATTATTTGAAGCTTCTTGTTTTGTGCATCATATTATGTGTAATATATACTTATACTAGAGAAAATAAGTCCTATTAATAAATTTTCATACGTATCCGTTCCTATATGTACCTCCATATATTCACATAATTGCTTTCCAATTGAATTCAATTTTGTTGCATAATATTTTGGAATATATTGGACAATAATAGAAGATGAATAGTAACATATTATAAAATGGCAGTTATTGCCAGTATTAATTATGAATTTTTAATTTTCTAAATGAATAATCGAACGAATTTACATTTGCTGAATTGATTAAACGGATAGATTTACTAGTGCAAAAATATTGCAGAGAACGAAAATAATGAAAGATGTGACAAGTGTTTTGTTCTTCTTTTTTTTACTTGATTTTCACAATATTGTTTTAAAGATTAAGAGAACATATAGTGCAAGTTTGAGCGATGCAGTGAGCGTGTAAACGCGATGGATGTGTCGAAGGTGTTGATGGTGGTGGAGGTGGTGGTGGCGGTGGTGGAGGAGGTGGTGGCATATATAACCATCCGGTACTTGTTGGCCAAACGGTACCAGGTGCTGAAGAAACCGGAAGTAACGAATTCGTATTATTTCCGGCTGTTACGTGCGACGTTGGTCCACCCTCTACTCACATTACCTAAAGTATAGAAGTAATACAGATGACATAAATATTAGAGAGTCTAAATAAAGCTATTACGAAACTAAATTTTCTGAAATTTTCTTAAATAATACATAGTACGAAGTCTATGAAATAATATAAGTTATTTAGGAAATGTAACCTTATGAAACCTTATTGAAAAAGGAGGACTAATTAATGGAAAAAGGGAGGTAGTTATCTGTCAACTTCAACGGCAACTATATGTTTAATTTAATATGAACTATTCAACTAACATAAAAAATTGCATTCTTCGCAGAATTATTAGAGAATATTCATATTATTATAGATAGCAATAGATTACACAGCAATTAGAATGTTTTATGTGAAAAGCATCGACTCGATATAAAATGTTACTACTATGATGTAACAATGAAATATAAAAATGAAGTTATATCGAAAGTAGGTAATTACACGTTTTAAGATTTTTCTACTCTTTTAATAAGATTTATGGCCGAAAGGGAAATGATATGTGAGAAATATTTTTTGAAGAAGAACTTTTTCTGTAAGTTTCATGAAAATTAGCACGTATAAGTTGGAAATGTTAAACTATCAGAGATGAAGATTTTAATTATACGGCATATTTAACTATATTTTATTACAGCAGGAAGTTGATGATTATGTGTTCAGCATAGATGTTTAATATTATATCGACTTTTTATAGATAAAACGTATTTCGATCAACTGGTTCTCTGTAAATTGTTTACAGTTACAGTTGCAGTTACAGTTAGTAACGATTTATTTCCACGAATTTGAGAATCGTATGGAATTATGGAATGCATAGAGGCTGCACCACGAGGAAACCGACAAGTGTTTACTGTTTACTAACTTAAATTGTCTTGATTAATTTTGTCATTTTGAGTGAAAAATATCACACGAGCTGTAGCAATATTATTATTAATAATAATATTAATAATATATAATTATTAAATGCTTATGTTATTATTCAGTATTTGATTATATCGTGTTAAATATCAATGAAACTATTAACCTGCTAACTTATAAAAGAGTAATTATTCAGGATACACGAATATGAGTATTATTTCTTATAAGTTGTAAGTTTTAAGTTTGTAAGTAAAGAGTATGATTACGAGATAATGGTATTTACACGGCAAGTTTTGGGCATTATCACATTACGATGTAGAAAAGTGAAAAGATTTATCAAGGACTTATTATAATATCGGTTGTTTCTTATTGGAATATGTTTCTTAATAATCGGAAGCAGCGAAACTGTATTAAATCTCGATTCGATTGCTCTATGGTGTTTTAAAATTTGCAGTTACAAAAAACGAGAAACTAATGGAAATGAGAATAATCGATACAACAATATATGTAACAGAATCGAAGGTATATGAAAGTATATTTTGCAAATATAACAAAAGTCTATTTAGAAATAAAAGTTGGCTACTTGAAGAATTTCTACGAATTTTAAATGCAAGTATCGCGACGCGTCGAAATTATTTACGATAGATAGCAAAATGTATTACTGTATTTATTATTCATATTATTGCATCAATTATATGCATATGCATCATCATCTTTAGTTTCCTTCATTTTCGTTAGCTCTGTAGCTTTGTTGTTTCTTGAAATATCTAAAGGAAAATAAGTACGACGATGAGTTACAAATCAATCTCGTAAGACTTGTAATTATTACTGTTTGCAAGTTTGCGATGAATTATAGATTATCAATGATATCTGTAATAACGATACAAATGGAAGTTAACGAAAGATATTATTATGTTATTATATTAATAAAGCTATATGTATACCTTTATGTACGAATGTAAGTACTTTAAAGAATAAAGCATAAGAAACGGATTTATTTTAATCGCAATATGTAATTTTATTAGACGGTGAAATGACAGTAAACTGAAATTTTTAACACATGTCAAGTGAATATTTCAAAAGTCGATAACTTTAACACAGAGCGTCACGTTTAAATCGATCTCGATATGTTTTTCCTTAACTGACATCTCTGTAACCGACGATTACAAAGATGTAACTGAGGAATTTCATATAAAATTTGTTTTATGGGAAGTTTTAGGTAGTAAGTTTTAGTTAGTTTTCTAAGAGATACGAAGGAAAAATTAGTTTGGATACGTGAAATTATAATTTTATAATATAAATAAAATAGTAATATCAATGGACAGAGTTCGTGGTATGATAGAAAAAAAGCACTTATCTACTTATGATAAAAAGCATTAATTACGAAGAATATAGAGATTCAGCGCGGCCTATATTGTCTAGTATTTATTGAAAAATGTGTCAAAGTGTTTAAAAAATCCTGCAGATGGAATGAATTAACGTGGTATATTTATCTTTTCCGTTAAATTATCCCATTTCGAAAGATTTTGGGAGAAGAAAAAGAAAAACGGTGGTAGATTTAGCAATTTTGTTAGAAATTCAATTTGTGGTGGAGGAGGTGGTGGCATATATAACCATCCGGTACTTGTTGGCCAAACGGTACCAGGTGCTGAAGAAACCGGAAGTAACGAATTCGTATTATTTCCGGCTGTTACGTGCGACGTTGGTCCACCCTCTACTCACATTACCTAAAGTATAGAAGTAATACAGATGACATAAATATTAGAGAGTCTAAATAAAGCTATTACGAAACTAAATTTTCTGAAATTTTCTTAAATAATACATAGTACGAAGTCTATGAAATAATATAAGTTATTTAGGAAATGTAACCTTATGAAACCTTATTGAAAAAGGAGGACTAATTAATGGAAAAAGGGAGGTAGTTATCTGTCAACTTCAACGGCAACTATATGTTTAATTTAATATGAACTATTCAACTAACATAAAAAATTGCATTCTTCGCAGAATTATTAGAGAATATTCATATTATTATAGATAGCAATAGATTACACAGCAATTAGAATGTTTTATGTGAAAAGCATCGACTCGATATAAAATGTTACTACTATGATGTAACAATGAAATATAAAAATGAAGTTATATCGAAAGTAGGTAATTACACGTTTTAAGATTTTTCTACTCTTTTAATAAGATTTATGGCCGAAAGGGAAATGATATGTGAGAAATATTTTTTGAAGAAGAACTTTTTCTGTAAGTTTCATGAAAATTAGCACGTATAAGTTGGAAATGTTAAACTATCAGAGATGAAGATTTTAATTATACGGCATATTTAACTATATTTTATTACAGCAGGAAGTTGATGATTATGTGTTCAGCATAGATGTTTAATATTATATCGACTTTTTATAGATAAAACGTATTTCGATCAACTGGTTCTCTGTAAATTGTTTACAGTTACAGTTGCAGTTACAGTTAGTAACGATTTATTTCCACGAATTTGAGAATCGTATGGAATTATGGAATGCATAGAGGCTGCACCACGAGGAAACCGACAAGTGTTTACTGTTTACTAACTTAAATTGTCTTGATTAATTTTGTCATTTTGAGTGAAAAATATCACACGAGCTGTAGCAATATTATTATTAATAATAATATTAATAATATATAATTATTAAATGCTTATGTTATTATTCAGTATTTGATTATATCGTGTTAAATATCAATGAAACTATTAACCTGCTAACTTATAAAAGAGTAATTATTCAGGATACACGAATATGAGTATTATTTCTTATAAGTTGTAAGTTTTAAGTTTGTAAGTAAAGAGTATGATTACGAGATAATGGTATTTACACGGCAAGTTTTGGGCATTATCACATTACGATGTAGAAAAGTGAAAAGATTTATCAAGGACTTATTATAATATCGGTTGTTTCTTATTGGAATATGTTTCTTAATAATCGGAAGCAGCGAAACTGTATTAAATCTCGATTCGATTGCTCTATGGTGTTTTAAAATTTGCAGTTACAAAAAACGAGAAACTAATGGAAATGAGAATAATCGATACAACAATATATGTAACAGAATCGAAGGTATATGAAAGTATATTTTGCAAATATAACAAAAGTCTATTTAGAAATAAAAGTTGGCTACTTGAAGAATTTCTACGAATTTTAAATGCAAGTATCGCGACGCGTCGAAATTATTTACGATAGATAGCAAAATGTATTACTGTATTTATTATTCATATTATTGCATCAATTATATGCATATGCATCATCATCTTTAGTTTCCTTCATTTTCGTTAGCTCTGTAGCTTTGTTGTTTCTTGAAATATCTAAAGGAAAATAAGTACGACGATGAGTTACAAATCAATCTCGTAAGACTTGTAATTATTACTGTTTGCAAGTTTGCGATGAATTATAGATTATCAATGATATCTGTAATAACGATACAAATGGAAGTTAACGAAAGATATTATTATGTTATTATATTAATAAAGCTATATGTATACCTTTATGTACGAATGTAAGTACTTTAAAGAATAAAGCATAAGAAACGGATTTATTTTAATCGCAATATGTAATTTTATTAGACGGTGAAATGACAGTAAACTGAAATTTTTAACACATGTCAAGTGAATATTTCAAAAGTCGATAACTTTAACACAGAGCGTCACGTTTAAATCGATCTCGATATGTTTTTCCTTAACTGACATCTCTGTAACCGACGATTACAAAGATGTAACTGAGGAATTTCATATAAAATTTGTTTTATGGGAAGTTTTAGGTAGTAAGTTTTAGTTAGTTTTCTAAGAGATACGAAGGAAAAATTAGTTTGGATACGTGAAATTATAATTTTATAATATAAATAAAATAGTAATATCAATGGACAGAGTTCGTGGTATGATAGAAAAAAAGCACTTATCTACTTATGATAAAAAGCATTAATTACGAAGAATATAGAGATTCAGCGCGGCCTATATTGTCTAGTATTTATTGAAAAATGTGTCAAAGTGTTTAAAAAATCCTGCAGATGGAATGAATTAACGTGGTATATTTATCTTTTCCGTTAAATTATCCCATTTCGAAAGATTTTGGGAGAAGAAAAAGAAAAACGGTGGTAGATTTAGCAATTTTGTTAGAAATTCAATTCGATCGTCTTCTTTATCCCAATAACAATAACAACAACAATAACAATAATAACAATAACAACAACAACAACAACAACAATAATAAGAAAGTTTCTGAACCTGTCTAGAATTTTAGTTTAATTTTAGGCTGAAACTTGACGATGCTAGGAAGCAGAGACACTATCGATTGCCAAACCACATTCGTTGGCTCGTTGTTAAATTGACATTTCCTCGAGAAATTTTGAAAACAGTTGCGTAATATCGAAATGAAAATATTTTCCAATGCAATAGTTGACCGTATATTTGATATTTTTTGGAGTTTAGAAAAGAATTGATTGGAGGAAGTTTGTTTTTCTCGAAACTATTTATATCTGCGGTGAAATATTTGTCGATATCACCAACAGTTTGAGAGATTTTCACAGATGTTGGCGGGATGATTGGATTGGATTGGAACGAGACACTGGTCGTCTCATTATACAGTTTATAGTTTATACAGTTATATATGTATATAAGTATATATATATATAGTTTATACAGAGGCATACGTATCTAATAGCCGATAAGACGTATGTCGTTCAAGATGGCTTACGAGGAACAGAAATTCGGCGTGGAAAAGTTGGAGACTACGGAAGGAGCGCGGAAATGTTGGAATTTTTTCTGGCTAAATAAATTCGAAAAACGTATGAATCAGACGCGTGGATGTTAACGCGGTAAATATATCACGATGTTGTGACTGCGATTGCGATGCATGGAAAGTGTCTATATATAGAGGTGCCCTAGCGTATGTATTTTACCTGAAATTATAGGATATATTGTACCTGTAAGATTTGACTTGCTTCGAAAGCTGTTCCAGGAAGTAATATGACAGGGCTGCTAACATGTCCACTTTCCACGCATATCATGTTCGGAAATTCGTCGTCCCCAAAATCTGGTATATCGCGAGCCTTCTCCTGCCATGGATTCCAAACCACTGTGTCAGGAAAATTGTACTTTTGTACTCGCATTTTCCTACCGGACACGACATTGGTAATGATGTGTTCCGGTTGCGTATTCTGATAAATTCTGTCTGTCCATTCGCAAACAGTCACTACGTCGCGACCCTCTTGAAAAATTTGGTTGTCTCTTGTCTGTAAATTTGACGAATTTCATGAATTCGATGAAATTTATTTGGTAAATATTTCGGAGGAAGGATCGATTCGGTAATGGAAAAGCACGGGGATCATTTAATAACGTAACGGTTATACCTTGTCGATAAAGGTGCATCCATGAAGGCCAGTAATTTGGCATCTCCTGACATCTGGCACTTTAAAGTAGGTGTGCAGTAACAAATTAAAACTAAACGTATGATCTTTACTAGGATTGTATACACCAATGTTAAAATGTAATTCCTTCTCGCGAAGAATTAGTCTGTACGTTAATTTAAATGGGTAATTCCACATTGATCGAGTAAACTCGCTGTCCATAATAGAGAAGATTGCTTCGACGTCGCCGCTAGACAATCGTTCGGGGGACTTTTCTACATTCCAACGAACAATTCTGGCAAAACCATGAGGTGGTCCGAATGTCCATGCTCCAAATTGTGCTAAATCGAGTCAAGGTAAAATAGAATATTAATATTTTATACGTTATTTCGAAGGATATGCATTTTCCAGTGATTTCGCATACTTACGAAAAACAAATGGAATGCCTCCTCTAATAGCTTTCTTTCCATCGAATACAGCTTGCTTGCTGAAATACAAAAAATTTTCGTTGCTAATTAAATAATAAGGAAATAGCAAAAAAACGCCGTTTGTTCGCTAGTGGAATTATTCGTTTAATTAGGCGTTTTCAAATTATTTCAACGATATCAGATAAAATATTTTTCATTAACGGATTTCCACGGATTAACGAGTTTATAATAATCGTTATATAAGACAGAGATAATTAAGATAATTATAGATATATAAGAGATAATTAAGAGAAAGAACGATTAAAAAGATATATCTGCAAAGGTATATTTAGTTATAACGTCGTTGTTGTAATATTATATTACACAGAGAGAGAGAGAGAGAGAGAGAGAGAGAGAGAGAAGGGGAGAGTGAGAGGGAATACCGAATCGATTCTTGCTAGATTATATACGATTCGTACTTGACGATTCTTCGAAATGGATTTTCTCGAAAAACAAACGTCACACGGAACAAACTTTTTCGTTTATTCTACCTTTCCGATTAAACTTTGCGCGAAAGATCATCTTCTGCCCGGTTGTATCGCAGATGTATCGCGGTTGGAATATTACTCGCGATTTTGGAAGCACGAGTATCTAGTAAATCCTTGTCTAATAAATAGATCGATTTTGTTGGTCGGAAGAACAATTTATATCGATAATTCCATTATTCTTCCGCTTTATTTCTTATTTCGGCCTTAACCGAATGTTCTCGCAACTGGACTTGTAACTAACATTTATTCGAGGAGACGATAAGTCACGTTTGCACGCGTAATTAAACACGTTGATATTCCTCAATATCTCTAAACGGTTGTATTCCTCTTCTCGTGCTCTCGTGCGAGAGCAGCAATATCGTAGAGGAAATTTTGCCGAGATTAGCAAACTTGAGTCAATTTGAACAGCGACAAATCGACAAGAGTTGCATTTTGTCCAGTGCATCTATCGTTCATACCGATATTCCTCATTAGCGTAATCTAGTTTTCTGCACGCGTAAATGGTGGAAGTAATTTTATCCATTTACACTTTACACGATGATGATAGTTGTCGGGGCGAAGGCAGAACGTGGACAGAGAAAGAGCGAGAGGGAATTAGGGAAATAGAAAATCGAAGGAGAGAGAAGCGAGGGAGAGTGAGAGAGGGAGAGGGGAGGGAGAGGGAGAGGAAGGAGGAGAGAAGAAGGAGCGATGTACCACGACGAAGTACGACGCGGCCGCGGCGGTAGGAACGCTGCTGACGCCGAGCAAAAACGATCGGCGCTGTCTGCCGTGCTTTTTGCGGGCATCACAGTTTCAACCTCTCCTCCTCGTCGTTTCTAGCTGCTGCTGCTGCTGCTGCTGCTGCTGTTATCCCCCATTGCTACCGCTGCTCCGCTCTCCTCTGCTCGCCAATACTCTTCTCTGTTCTTCTCTGCCACTGACCTGTGAGTGGCACGCAATTTTTGACGTAGTTAACCCTGATATTCTTTATCGAAAACCTCCTCTGCTCGATTAAATCCAGTAAATCTTCTAGAGTACGCGAGTGTACTCGGTTCTGGCATCCAGTGTCGTCACGCTGGATGGATAGTACAGCGAGAAAGGTGTGCGTAAATAGCGCGATAGGTTAAGGCCCGTGTCGAATCGAATACATAGGAAATATATTAAAATCGATAGGATACGTTCGAGATACGTGTATATTACGCGTATTCCTGGATATTTATTTAGCAGAATCAAGAATTCTCGCGATAAGACGATGAATTTTCAAACGGTATATTTTCAAAGTAAAGCTTACGTAGAATTTTCTTGTGCGAGCAGACAAATATCATAGGACAAACGAGCTGCTTTACCCGCCTTAATTCGCTTTCCCAAAATTTGATCTCGACAACCTAGAATAATTCTTTTTCTATAATCAAGACTTATCAAATTATCAAAGGATTATCGAGAATTCCATATGGATCGATACATGGTTCGCAGCAGTATCGTAATGTCAATTATCGTTGTATCCTTTCGATACGTCGTTCGTATTCATGAAAATATTAGTTACCCCACGAAACATCTTGCGCTTCACCTAATAGCTTTTTAGAAAGTAATTTTTAATTCTTTATACGTGTACGTATCAGCTAATATGTCAGATACGTGTGGCAGATAATACGTACTTTTTCTTTCTTTTTTTTTTTTTTCCTTTTTCTAATAACCTATAAAAATAGACGAATATTTACATTTATTTTTCTACTTCTTCGTTATAATACAACGCTGCTCGAATAAATTCCACGATACATCCATGTTCAGTTTATCGCGTCGATAGAAATGATTAATACGAAAATATGACAACGCGTCGGTCGTACAATGTCCGTTAGGTATTTCATATTTTCCTATATATGGTGTAACCTAATCGTACGATTACAAGTTTCCGTTTATCCGATATTTTACTCTTATTTCTGGTCATACAACACACACTCAACAAACTTAAAATTTTCTCTTTATTTCGTCTTTTTCTCTAGAAAATTTTGTCCGGAAAAAATTATCGAAAGAGCCGAGGACGATTAAGTTGCGTGATTTTTCAATTCTATCGGTTTCGTTTACGGGTTTTATTCCGTTTACGGGAATAAATCTGTTTACCAGGAACGAGGTCGACCAGTCGTAGGACTATACAGTTGGCTTGATTTCTTACGCCAGTCGATGCACCCCACCAGGCAATATTCGATGCTTCGATGAAACTTTGATTCTTCCAAACGAATTCTTAAAACCAAGCTTCGAAAATTCGAAAAATTCCAAGCTAAGAATTCGTTACAGTTCTTTTATTAATTCGTTAGCGGCGGAGTATAACTGTTTGCGTCGATACGCGAATTAATTCGAACGATTCGAAAGAAAACATGGAAGATTTCGTTAATAATTTATTTTTGCAAATTATCAAGTTATCGAGTTTCGAGAATTTACAATTTTCCATTTTCCATTCCAATGTTCCATTTCTGCAAATTAAAACTATTTTTGAAAATTATTTTTCAAACCCTCGGTAGCATAAAACAGCGATAAATCTAAATTTGGAAAAAAAACAGGAAAAAAAAACAAACAGTAAATAGTAAATTTAGTAAAGTTATTAGTAAAAAGATAAATAGTTTAAATGCATTATAATGTATAAAATAACTAACAAACTAATAAACGCGAGCTTGCTTTATCTTAAATTTCATCCTCGCGGTTATATATACCTTTATACAGCTCTTGGTTATATAAATTATAGTATTTTTATAGCAAGACACGTATCCTTTTATATCCTTTTTCTCCCGAACAATTTTAAATAGAGATAATTGAAATAAAACAATTTCATTCCTGAAATTTATCTGTAAAATATTTATCATTTTCAGTCCCTTGCGTATGCCGATCGAGTTCGAATTAAGAGTACTGGAACGTGTCAATGCTCATGTCATCAATGTTAACGCGATGTTCATGCCCATCATTTGCCTTCCTACGTGTATATCGCGTAATTTATATTAAACCTTAGTACAAATTAGCACCTTTGTCTTATTTATCATTTTCTTTATTCGAAATTATTGTTTTAAGTAATCACATTCACGGTCATTACCCGGAGTAATAGGAACCAATCCAATCGAATTTATACCTTATATGTTATATCTGTTACTTTCATTTTGCGTAAAATATATTATGCCTTAAGAAGAGAAGAACACGAATATTTAACGATAAAAATAGAAATTAAGAGAATAAAATCTGTTAAAAACACTTATATCGAACTTTAATTTCTTGGTTAAATTACACGATAATTTTTCACAGAGTTATTTAGGTAAAGGTAAACTTTTCTTTCCTCTATCCAGCTGTCTGAATCTATTTTTCAAACGTTAAAATCTGTTACGATATAGTTGTAACAATGTACCTTCTATTCTTTATATTTCGTTCTATTATTCGTGTTAGACATGTACGAAATTCTGTACAAATTGATTATCGAGATGAATATAGCAAAAGCTTAAATTTCCATTTTCCTTATTAACATCTATAATTCTTGATTTATTTCTCTCTAGTGAAATACTTCCTAGTACTCCCTATATAGATAATCCTATCGATTACCTATATATGTTAGATCTGTCTTACTTTCGTCACCATGCACATGTACCATTAAATTACTATTAATTCGAAATGTTACCTTCATTTTTTTGTATACTAGCTTGTATATTAGCTTCCATCTTCCTTTCGAACTTATTTTACGTTACTTCCGTACATTATCCTCTGGTGTTTACATCTCTTCGTTTCAACTACTTTGCGTATTGCTGTTTAATAATTTAACAAGTATATTTTTACCTTCATCCTCTTATCTTCTTATTTCTTTCTTTTGTAGAATAGATAAAATTACATCAAATCTAAAATTACTTCAAATCCGAAACTTTTATAACGAGTCGATTATTAATTAATTTATTATTCATTCATTATTAACTTATTAATATATCATTGTTACATCGATACGTTACCGATCGAGACGTTAAATAAAAGACTTTTTTCAACTTTGGTTTAAAGGAACTTGTGTAAACAATGCAATATAGTAATCTCCGATATACATTTCTGATTATCTAACGAGCTTTTAAATTAAAGGTTTTTTTAAATTAAAGGTAAAATACACGTAACAGAAGAGGTCTTTAAAGAAACTATAAATATTTTTGTATCATTCTCTCTTTTTTTTATTAGTTTAGTCGCGTATCCTTAGTTATGGTTATTACCTTCTTTATAAAGCAATATTTATTATATTTAGCAGTTTAGGAAGTTGATTACAGTGATTTGCGATATCCGCTCTTTTATTTTATTACGAAAAACAGATTAATTTCTTCAGGTATGGTAAGGAATATTGTTTCTGAAAATATTTCATTTTAATTTTCTGATATATTCCGGTAGTTGTCGGAATAAAAATTGTTTTCGTCGAGCATAACGTTTTGCAATTTTTTTTGCAATAAAAGAACCAATAAATAAGGAATCACAGGAAAATAGTCGCGACTACATAATTAAATATTTTTCGATAGAAACTGAATCGAAGATAAGATATTTTGATTTAT